TGTATTGGCTCAGTAGTTATTTTCATTCATCCTGTTGAGTACTCAATGGATTCATCAAATGTGAAGTGTATCCTACTATTTATTTCTTTAAAAAATTGTCCCATTCATTTTCTGTTCTCTTTCTCTATAATTCCTCTTAGCTACCTGATGGATTTCTGCAACTCCTGTATTAATTCTCTATGACTCTTGCCTTTATCCTTCAAATTTGCTATCTCTTTACCATTTGCTTTAAGCTCTAGGAAAGTATTTTGACTTTATATTTCAGCTATTCTTCTGAAATTCATATTTTGGAGATTAATTTATAAGAACTCTTCTGTGTTCTTTGTTCTCTTCTCAGTCAGACTGTTCTTGTTTTATAAATGCAATATCTTCTCAAATTTCTTTCAAGATAGCTATTAACAAGTTTTAAAATTTCTTCCAGTTTTTTAATTATTTCTTATCCTTTGAGACTATTTGGTCTTTTTTTCTTAATTTCCTGCTGGTGGTTGTCCTCAAATGTCTGATAATCTTTTGTGTACATTCACATTGACGAGTGATGGATTTGTTTTATAATAATAACTATCTAGTGCAAGTTCCTTTTTAATTTGGGTTGATGATGTTTCTTAAGAGGTACTGCCCCTGAATGGGAAGGCCAACAAGGACATCTGTGCAAATGTGCAGGACTAACTGACAGATTTTGCTTCAGGATGTACATGTGTGGGAATCAGCCTGAGATGAGACATTTTGCTTCATCTCCACCCACCAAATGCCAGAACAAGGGGAGCTTTCCTCTTAGATCAACATCCCCACTAAAACACAAATTCTTCCCCAGCTAGCTTATCCATTTGTTTTAGTGAAGAATCTCTTGCCACTCTTTCCCCCTCTTTAGGAGTTAAAAACCTGGTGCCCTTTGCCCTATGTGGGAGTGTAACCAGTAACCCTAGCCTAAATGCTGGCTGACTGGCAGCCACTTCCCCTGAAGTCCCCTCATACACATAACTGGGCTTTGGTTTCCTCTGCTCCATGTTCTCATCTGCTTCCATATTCAAGAAATGCATTGAAGTCTCCCATCTATGAAAGACCTTCATTGCTCCCAGTTTCTTCATTGCTAAAGATTAATTTCTTTTTGAACTTCCATACAGTCGTTTGAGCGGGACACCTGCTAAGGGCAGTGGCACACTCATGTGCTTATTTTACCATCTCACACCAGACACTTGCCCACCTCCACTGTGCCATTTTTAAAAATGGGATGTTTTGTTGTTGTTGAATGTGTACTTTTCTCTTATCTATATACCTACTGCTTTACATGATATTTCAGGAGATAAGAATAGGCTCCTGTTGAAGGAAAGAAAGAAAGAAAAAAGGAAAGAAGGAAAGAAAGAAGAAATAAAGAAAGCAGATTTAAATGGAAGCAAACAAATGAAATAAATTGAGATAATAACAAGAAGTGTCACTCTCTCTTAAGTATGTATGATAAGCAGTTATAAACAGTGGACATTGTTAAGCCTTTGAAAGACCTTGGCACCTAACCATGTGCCACAGATATTAAATGAACAGCTTTCAAGAGAAACAGAGTTGTTTCTAAATAGGTTAGTGTGTTTTTGCCAGCAGGGTTCCTGGCACACAGGGGATACCTGCTCCAGAGTGTCTGTGAGAGAACTCAGACACATCATTTCCCCTCCAGCTGTTAGGGTCTATTGATTAAAAGATGATACATTACAGATACTGCAAGTGTTTAAGACTCAAGTTTAAAAAACACACTTGTTACTTTACTTATTTCCTTCCCATGAAACCCATTCAGACCCTAACACTCTATTGCCATGAGGATAGCAGAAAATTTCATCTCAGTTGCTGTTGTAATCTTTCCTTCTTAGAGTTCCAACAGAATCATGGAGCCCAACATGCAGAGAGAAGCCAGTTTACCCACATTAGAAATGCTGGCATCTTCATTGTACCTAAAGTCCAACAGATCTTTGCTGTGCCTATTTGTCCAAAGAGGAAATTCAGGGCTTTGGAACTGTTTCTCTTTGAAGTCTGTTTACTTTGTTGAGGCCCTGTGTTGGAGTGGTATGATCTCCCCTTCCTGAGAGGTCTGCGGACATTTTACCTCCCTTTAAAGTATGCTATTGAGGCATTTTGATGTAATCTCCTTAATTGTTGGAGGCTTTGGTAAATATCAAAGCTAAATCAATAGATCACTTCTACCTTCTGCCCTTCCTTGAGACAGTGAATCCAGAACAGACCATCTGCCTGATAGGAGTGGGGGAAGTGAATGGGAGTGGAGGATAAACGGAAGGAAGAGGACAAATATCAGAAGAAAAAAGAATCAGTTAATTGTTTCAAAAATACTACTATGCCATAGTAGGTACATTTAACCACAAAGGGCTATCTGATGGGCTATGTGGATGAAATGAAATGGTGCCTAGGCCAGGATGAGGTGAAGTGGGTTAAGGGTGAGTGGGAACAGGAGAGAGGTAGGAAGATTTTTCTGGAGAGTTAACACAGAATTTATGATGGAACCTCTCGGAGAATTTGAGAAGGAGATGAAAATAGCCTCCAGCTGCTATGAATGTTTATTTATTAGCCATGCCTACTCCACAGCCATGCCCCTCCCACAGCCACGCCCCCGTCCCAGCATTTTGTCAAAAGCCTTTAGCCAAACATGGATGAATCTGGAGAACATCATTCTCAGCAAACTGACACAAGAACAGAAAATGAAATACCGCATATTCTCACTCACAGGCGGATGATGAAAAATGAGAACACATGGACACAGGGAGGGGAGTACTAAACACTGGGGTCTATTGGGGGGAAAAGGGGAGGGCCAGCGGGAGGGGGAGCTGGGGAGGGATAGCCTGGGGAGAAATGACAAATGTGGGTGAAGGGGAGAAAGGAAGCAAAACACACTGCTATGTGTGTACCTATGCAACTGTCATGCATGTTCTGCACATGTACCCCAAAACCTAAAATGCAATAAAAAATTAAAAAAAAAAAAGCCATGAGGCGCTGCATTCCTGAGGACTCCTGAGTCCAGACTGATGCTCCTGGAGGCCATGTGAATGTAAAGAATGGTCATCTTGCCCGGAGATTTTACTAATCTTTATAGGGAGGACAGATATCCCCTGAAAAGTTCATGGCTACAGAAATCAGTGCCTGTGGCATTCACACCATTGCCACAGAGCAGCCTCAGGGTGCTGCCAGCTGATCTCACACATATTCTGAAGGTCTCCTGTTTCAGGAGGAGACCAGTGTGATTCCATTTGGATCCAGCTCTGGCATCTATTCACTTAAAAGCTATAAAGATTCATTTTGGGCAATGTACTGTGGCTCATGCCTATAATCCTAGCACTTTGGGAGGCCAAGGTGGGCCTCCCATCACTTGAGGTCGGGAGTTCGAGACCAGCCTGACCAACATGGAGAAACTCAATCTCTACTAAAAATACAAAATTAGCCAGTGGTGGTGGCGCATGCCTGTAATCCCAACTACTTGGGAGGCAGAGGTAGGAGAATTGCTTGAATCCGGGAGGTGGAAGTTGCAATGAGATTGCTTCATTTCACTCCAGCCTGGGCAACAAGAGGAAACTGTCTCAAAAAAAAAAAACAAAAAAACGGCGAATGTTGAACAATTAGAACACGTGGACATAGGGAGGGGAGCATCACACACTGTGGTCAGTATTGGGGGGCTAGGGGAGGAACAGCTGGGGATGGCGAGGGTGGAGAGGGATAAAGAGGGGAGAAATACCAGATATAGGTGATGGGGAGATGAAGGCAGCAAACCACCTTGCTATGTATGTACCTATGCAACAATCCTGCATGATCTGCACATGTACCTTAGAACCTAAAGTACAATAAAAAAAGAGAAAAATTTAAATAAATGTAGAGATATAACAACAACAAAAAAGTAGCTTTTCCAGGAAAAAAGTATGGAAGAGGATTATGAACATTGACTCAAGCAGATACTCAAACCAAACCCATGGACTCACTGGGCTGCATAGCTGATGCTACCACGAATAAGCTCTGCTGCATATGGCGGGCCCTGCTGCAGCCATGGTCAGCTTCCTGTTATGTACCCATGAGAAACAAAGTGTTGGGTGTCTGCTGCATCCCACAAGAACTGGAAAGTCACATGGCAGCTTTCCTGTCTGGCATATCTTTAGCCTTCTTCCCCCAAAGACTGGCTCCTCTGCTCAGGGCTCAATATGACCACTGGCCTCAAGTCTGCATGATTTTGTTTTGACTCACACTGGTAATGGACACAATCTCTCAGTGAGCCAAACCCAATTTCCTCTGAGAGAGAATCTGATTTCCCAAGATTTAGTTGTGTCCGTTATGCCCACAGAGCTGCTTCCTGGAAGAGGTGAATCTATTGATAAAGGCACAGGGGTCTGATTATGTCCCTCAGCCAAAGCTGCAGACGTGGGCAGATGATTTTATGAAAGCATGAAGGCTCCAAGACAATAATTAATAATTAACCATTTCAGTATCCTATTCATCCACAGCTAGACTTTGATGTCACTAGTGCGGACACTCTAACAGTCGTGTCTCATCTCAGTGCGTGCTGTGTTTGATTTCAACATTTTCAATATTTTCTATTTCTGGTTTCAGGTGTGGTGCCACATTTACATGATATAGAAATAAACAGAAGATTACCTTACAGAATGATTTTAGGATGTTTCACATGGTTTTCAATAACTAAGGAACCCCCCAATATTATCATTAGTGTTTGCTACATCAAGTGAAGGAAGAGGCAGTAACACACATGCCTTGTCCAGAAATGCATCAAAAGGCCTATTATTCTTCATGGGCACATTTAATTTCCACATTAACTTCTCCCAAAGACAACAATCAGCAATTTTATCACCTACTGGAGAAAGGCATTCCAGGGCCTCAGGGCTCATCAAAATGAATGTGTTTTCCACAACATTCCGTAGTTATTGACTCCTATACGCTAAGCCGGGTGGATAAACACAGGCCACCATTTCCTCTGTGCTGTTTTAACTACTACCATTTTTACATTTCAGAACAAGAGCTGCTCTTAGCCAGAAAAGTGCCAGATGGTACTGAGGAATCAGACTCATACTATTCCAGAGCAATGTCATCTGCAGAAGAGAGCCAGTAGCTGATTGACAGAGACGACGCCCTTGTTGTTTTTATGGAAGTCAAGATGTCCTGTGTCTATCACTAGACCTGTTCTTCTATAATTGGCTTGGGTCTCAAGCTCTCTTTGGAACGTTATTCTAGGTATGATCTTGCCTCTTCAATTCTATCTTCAGACGTAACGCTGCAGTACCTTCTTCTTCAAATGGCTTCTCTTTACTTCTCCAGCTTTGAGAAATCCATCCTCCTCTCCCTCAGAGGTAACTTAGCTTTTCTCATCTGCATCAATCTTTGAATAACTATCATTTGTTATCAAGAATGCCTTTTAAAAAAGGTATCTATTTTCTATCTTCCCAACCAGCTAATAAGATATTTCCAGACAACTAAATATTTTGCCTCTTTCTCTCCACTTTGGGGTTTCCAGAGTGGTTTTCCCTTAGTGAGTGTCTAATTAATATTTGTTGGTGAAGCGATTGCTGCCCTGAGACTTGCTGCATTCTGATCAGAAAGTTCAGAAGAACAGTCCTATAGGGCATGATAAAATCAGGAATTAAATAGTGAAGTTTAGGCTAAACCAAGATACCATAAGGTATCTTGGAGTAGATTTCCCCAGAAAATTGTTAGTTACTCAATGATTCACAGTTACAGAATGAGTCACAGAAGATATGGCCAGGAAATTCTTTTTTACATGTCATTCTAAAGTTAGCTTGTAAGTGTGGCCCAAGTCCAGCGATTTTCAATTATCTGTGGATGCATTTGCTACCACAGATTCATGTATGAAATATTTGATTTCTGCATCCACCTTCCAGGTTGGAGTATCGTAGTCATATGTGCGCATGTGGAAATTTAGCAAACACAGAGGTAATGCTTTTTAATATTTAAAAATGTACTCCTGGCAAACTGTAACAGAAGTGATTCTGATAGTCATTTGAGAATGATTGTTCTCGGACAGTAGTTTTCAAAATGTGGTTCCTAGACCAGGGCATCAACATCACCTGAGAGCATGTTAGAAATGTAAGTTCTGGGCCAGGCGCGGTGGCTCACCCCTGTAATCCCAGCACTTTGGGAGGCCGAGGCGAGTGGATCACGAGGTCAACAGATCAAGACCATCCTGGTCAACATGGTGAAACCCCGTCTCTACTAAAAATACAAAAAATTAGCTGGGCATGGTGGCACATGCCTGTAATCCCAGCTACTCAGGGAGCTGAGGCAGGAGAATTGCCTGAACCCAGGAGGCGGAGGTTGCGGTGAGCCGAGATCGCGCCATTGCATTCCGGCCTGGGTAACAAGAGTGAAACTCCGTCGCAAAAAAAAAAAAAAAAAAAGAGAGAAATGTAAGTTCTGGGGCTCAAAACTACTAACCAGAAACTCAAGGGTGGCGCAGCAGGTGTTCTCCACTCCAGATGATTCTGAAACATGTGAACATGTGAGAATCACCATTCTAGGGATGTCTTATGATTATAATAATCTGTTATTTCTAAGGAAACCTTTGGGATAAAAATTTGTCTGATGTTCTGTTATTTCTAGGGAGACTTTTCAGATAAAAATTTATCTGATTGTTTAATAATATATGACATGGTTAACAATTGGAGATCTTCTCGTTTAACAGATTTTTTACTAAGTGTTCCTATATGCCAGATATTATGCTAGGTGCTGGAAATAAAGAGAAGAGTAAGTGCTGATATCTGCCTCAAGGAGGCCTTAGACTCAAATGGGATATGCACATGTGAGCAAATAATTATGATTCAGTGCTAGAAAATGTAGGTAGAAAAGGTTAATTCTGTTATGAAAGATATGGTCCAAGGAAGACTTTTGGATCCTGTCTCAGTTCTGAACCCTGAGAATTACATGTAGAAGTCAGCTAGGTATGGAAATATCCACTTAAGACTTAAAATGACTTAAGCCAGTCTGAAGAATGAAACATGGAACTTCCGGCCTTTGCAGTCCTCCTGTCCATGTGAAGACCTGTGGTTTACTGCAAGAGGGTAACTGAGTCTGCAGAATGAATGTTTGGCCAGCCAGAAGTGTTACTACAACCAATCTCCAATGTCGAGTCCCAAACAGCAAGAGGCCAGGAGAAGGAGGTCCCGTGAAAGCTCTAGCGTGGCCGTCCACCGGAGCAAGGGGGCGCCCTAATACTGCGTATTCTTGCCTTGTACTTGAGGAACACTGAGTGAGGGGAGAAAGTGTTATTCCCTCCTGGGAATGGCATCTAAGTTCTTTCTCTTTAAGGAAAAAGTGGAACTAAGTAAAGTGCCCTCCACCAAAAGCCAGGGGTTTGTAGGCGATGAGCAGAAGGAAGGAGCATTTCAGATGGAGGGAAGGCACATGCAAAGGTCCTGGGGCCTCAAATAACAAGGAAAATCTGTAGAAGGTTGGCTTGGGGTTTGGTTGTTTAGTTTTTCAGTTTTTATCTTCAGTTAGGGTCAGCAGACTGAATTCTTTTAAACATTAGAAAAGGAACTTCATTGGTTTTGAAACAGAGAAAAATGGGGCCAGGCACAGTGTCTCACACCTGTAATCCCAGCATGTTGGGAGGCTGAGGCGGGTTGATCATTTGAGGTCAGGAGTTTGAGACCAGCCTGGCCAGCATGGTGAAACCACCTGTCTCTACTAAAAATACAAAAATTAGCCAGGAGGTAGTGGCACACACCTGCCACCCCAGCTACTTGGGAGGCTGAGGCAGGAGAATCATGGGAAGGCAGAGGATACAGTGAGCTGAGATTGTGCCATTGTACTCCAGTCTGGGTGACAGAGTGAGACCCTGTCTCAAAAAAAGGAAAAAAAAAACAACAGGAAAAAGTTGAAAAGATATACATGACCAGTAATTGGAGATGGATAAAGTCAATTATGGTAGAGCCATGTAATGAAAGAAAATGAAATCATATTATAGGGCTTTATATTCACTTTATTTACATTTTATATTCTTTATTTAGAGCCATACATTATTATTTATATTTATAATATTTATATCTTATTTCTTTACTTATTTTATGAAATAAGAACTGGAAAAACATGGAAATGAATACTCCATAATGTTAGCAATGAGTACCTTTGAAATGTGAATCCGTTATTAGTGTTATTATTATCATTTTAGAGAAAAGGTCTTGGTGGTTTCCCAGGCTGGAGTACAGTGGCATTATCATAGCTCACCGCAGCCTTGAACTCCTGGGCTCAAGCAATCCTCCTGCCTCAGCCTTTAAGTAGTTTGGACTATAGATGAAATTATCAACTGCTTGAGTTTTCTTTGTTTCGTGATTTTTCCTTGTTTTTCAGTTTTGGGAAGTGGCCGTGTGCTGCTTGTACAATTAGGGAAAAAATGACAGTAGGTCTTATTTATGAGACAGAGCTGCACGCTTCTCCAATGAATGGCCATGGATGATCTGTTCATTTTGCCTGTCTTCATCATCAGTCTGAATGACCATACAAACACAAACAGCTCTGGCCATCACTAGTCATAGCGAAATGGATGCAGCACTTATGATTTGAGGAGGTTCATTTGCTGAATATGCGGCCAATCTCAGCGTTTATTACTCACCATTTAATCTTTTTTTAAACTTGTTTTTTTAAGTTAAAGAAATAGATTTAATTTGAAAATTGAGTTCTAAACAAGGTTTTATCGACTATTTCTAAACATTTTATTGACTATTTCGGAATTGTTAAAAACAACATACTTCATTTTTAAAAGTTCTTTGGCAAGAAAGTGGTTGAAATTCTTTCTTTTAACCTCCTTTTATGTGTCTATTTACTTTTATATAGTTCATGAAAGCAATCTAAATGTTTCTGTTTTGTTTGCTTGTTTTGCTGAAAAGCATCTTAAAAGTGAAATCTCTAGTAGCAAATCTTGAATAAGTATCTTCCCCTTCTGCCTTTGCTTGCATTTTCTGAATTCATTTCCTTTTTTCCAGAAATTTGGGGGATGCGTGCAACTTTTCCCTTGCTTCTGAAATGATAACTCTGCATTCATTCTCCACCATCATTAATCATGCATAGCTGTGCTCATTGGGGCAATGTTTTGAGAACCGATGGAGGAACAAGATCTTATTAGCACTGCTTTCCATGGTTTATCACTTACGGCCAATGTCACACAGGATTTTCAACCAGGATGGGAACGCCCAGCAGCTGGAAGCCCAGCTGCCAATTCATCAATTTGAGAAGTGAGTCTATTTCCGTCTAAGCTGTTGCATGCAAGGCACAGCGGGTTGATTCTGTGCCCATAGTGACTTCCTCCACTGTTTTTTTTTCCAACCTCCCCCAACCCGGGTCATTGCCATTGTCATTTCAGGCACATCACACACGCAGAAAAGCAATTCAGAAACTATGTGTTGAGTGAGATTTCCTTCAAGAGAATGGCAGTGGTCGGGGGCATAGATACCCCGCTCCTCATGGAGGTTCTACTGGGGCTGGGGCAAACATGAAGAAATCATTTCACCCATCTCTTTACCTCCTCAATCTCCTTTGGAAATAGCATATCCATCCCTTCTGATAAGGAAGTGGTGAGGGTGGAGTCCTATGGCAAAATGCTTAGACGTGTGAGCAGGACCACCCAAGTCCTAGCCTGAAAAAGATACTATACCTGGAAGCAGGTCAGACAACTAGACCTAAGCAAGCTCAAAGGGGGATAGCCGAGTGGAGCTGGGATGTTTGCATGATGCTGAATGAGTAGATGAGGGAAAGGCACACCAGGAATGTAAGTTCAGTTCAGCTTCATCATCACTCTGGGAGGTATAGATTCTGGTCTCATTTTCCAGAGGAATTAACTCAGATTCACAGAGACTGAAGAATCCCAATGAACTGGGCAGTCGTGGCATGCCTGTTTATTTAAGTGTGTCTGATTTCGAAGCCACACTCTTCATATAACAGAGAGAGGGTGTGCACATGTGTGCGTATGCAGTGCTTGTGCCCAAGTTAAATGTTAAATGTGTGCATCCTGATCAGTATTGGTAACTGTCTCAGGGATTGAATAAAGGGAGTTTAATGGAAGCACCGTTTACAGAGCTGGGGACAGAGTTGAGGAAGTGATAAGGGAAAGTCTAGGGCTCAGGAACTTGAAATAAGTCCTAGGCCTGAAGGAACTGGCAGAGCTGTCTCCACTGGCTGTGGAGACACTAAGACAGGGCCACCACAGAGGCCTGGCAGGGATTGAGTGGGAAGGGGACATGCTGGTCCCACCCTGATCTGACCTCTTCCTTCTCCAGTCTCCTGCCAGTACCTCCCTTTCTCTCCAGACACCAGGGATAGGGAAACTGGCTGATGCTGTTTGTCAAAGTGGATGCCTGGGGCCCAGGAGAAGGGCAGAAAGCAATCAGGAGGGGCAAACTGAGGACAATAGCACAATAATCAACTGGAATTAGTTGCTTTGGAATCAAGTTAGAATTGCAGAGGGATGAAGCCAGTAGTATGATTTAGGAACAAAAAGAAGGCAGAGCAAGGTGGACTTGAGGTCCACAGCCTCACCAGCAGGGAAGAAGAGGCACGTAGTGAGATGGAGCAGGGAAACATCACTAGGGCTACACTAAGTATACTGGGAGTACGAAGACAGGATTCAAAACATTCTTGGATAGAGTGCTGTGTAGCAGAGCAAGGGACCGAGAACTCCTGGGTTATGTTTTGCTCTGTCTTGTAGGAGATACGTTTTATCTATTTCTGCTTCCTTCCTGCCCTCCTCCAACCCCTCCAGAAGTAGAGTGGCCTCATTCTTAGTAAGCCCCCATCCCACACCCTGACAACTGCCACCTTCCCTGTGCAGGCGGTCCTCCCTCACTGTGGCCAGAAATAGCTAAGGGGTCTTAAGAACTGGGATTCTACCCTAGATGGTTGGATGACCTGAGGCCTGAGATTATGCAAACACCATTGCAAAGATTAGGCATGGCGTTGTCCTGATAGGGCCCTGCTTGAGACATATGTGGGTAATGTGAACATCCCCACAGTGATGGGTACCAATCTCCTATTGGGTATAATTACTCAGTGCCTTCTGCTGGAACAAGCAGTTTGGAAACAGAGTGCCAGGTTTGATTAGCAGGTGTACCAATCTCAGTCACATTGTTCCATGTTCTGAACTCCATGCTGATTCCACACGAAGTGCACTCATTGCAAAATTTAAAACAGGAAGCATGAAGTGCTGGGTTTTCATTCTGGGAGAACACAAGTATAGTTGTACCTCCATGGTTTTACAGGGCAGTAGATTCATCTAGGTAATCTGTTAGCCAACTGTGTTTACTGAACTCCTGCTGTATAAACTGTGTGGAGAATTTTGATTTGTGCATTTGTTTCCTAGGGCAGCTGTAACAAATGACCACACACTGGTGGCTTCATACAGCAGAAATTTAATCTTCCACAGTTCTGAGGTGGCAGCAGGGCCACGCTCCCTCCCGTGACTCCAGGGAAGGATCCTCCCTTCTCCCTTCCAGCTCCTTGTAGCTTCTATAGCTTTTTGTCTTGTGGCAGCAGAACTCCAATCTTTGTTTTTTTTAACTTAACTTTTATTTTAAGTTCAGGGGTACATGTGCAGTTTGGCTTTATAGGTAAACATGTGTCATGGGTTGGTTGCACAGATTGTTTCATCACCCGGGTGTTAAGCCTCGTATTCATTAGTAATTTTTCCTGATCCTCTCCCTCCTCCCACCTTCCACCCTCCAATAGGCCTCCAATAGGCTCCCTCTAAATGCCCACGTGTTCTCATCATTGAGCTCCCACTTATAAGTGATAACATGCAGTATTTGGTTTTCTGTTCTTGTGTTAGTTTGTTAAGGACAATGGCCTCCAGCTCCATCCATATTCCTCAAAGGATGGGATGTCATTCTTTTTTATGGCTGCATAGTATTCTATGGTGTATATGTACCAGATTTTCATTATCCAGTCTTCCACTGATGGGCATTTAGGTTGATTCCATGTCTTTGCTCTTGTGAATGTGATAAACATAATGTGGAGAAAAGGGAACACTTACACACTGAATGGGAGTGTAAATTAATTCAACCATTGTGGAAGACAGTGTGGCAGTTCCTCAAAGACCTAAAAACAGAAATACCATTTCACTCAGCAATCTCATTACTGGGTAATACCCAAAGGAATATGATTTTTTTTTTTTGTCAGGCCTCCATGTGCAAGCCCGGACCCAGAAGGTCTGAAGTCCTGTCGGCCTCTGCTGATCACCCCCACTCCTTCCTCACTTCCTCCCTCAGCCACCTGATCCAGCATTTGCCATTATCCCTGATAGCCCAGTGGAGATTCCCCCTGACCTAAGCTTCCCTTCACTGTAACTGAACTTATGGTAATGTGTACTCCTCGCCCTTACCCCCACCACTGTAACTGATCTTACTCTGTAACTTTCCACTGCCCACCCCAAACCTATAAAACCAACTCCTATCCCACTGCCCTTTGCTAACGCCCTTTTCAGCCTTAGCCCACCTGCACACCCAGGTGAATAAACAGCCACGTTGCTCACACAAACCTGTTTGGGGGGTCTTTTCATTCAAAGCATGGGTTTTTTAACAGTTTTATTAGAAAGACACATAGCTCCAATCTTTGCCTTTGTTTTTACATGGTCTCCTTTGTGTTCAAATCTCCCTCTCCTTTCTTGTGTAAGGAGACAAGTTATTGGTTTTAGGGCCCACTGTAAATCCAGGAAGTTTTATCATGAGACCCTTAACTAATTACATCTTCGAAGAGCCTATTTCCAAGTAAGGTCACATTCTGAATGTTGAGTGACCATGAATTTAGGAGATACTATTTTTTTTTTTTTTTTTGAGATGGAATTTCGCTCTTGTTACCCAGGCTGGAGTGCAATGGCGCAATCTCGGCTCGCCGCAACCTCCACCTCCTGGGTTCAGGCAATTCTCCTGCCTCAGCCTCCTGAGTAGCTGGGATTACAAGCACGCACCACCATGCCCAGCTAATTTTTGTATTTTTAGTAGAGACGGGGTTTCACCATGTTGACCAGGATGGTCTCGATCTCTTAACCTTGTGATCCATCTGCCTTGGTCTCCCAAAGTGCTGGGATTACAGGCTTGAGCCACCGCGCCCGGCCTAGGAGATACTATTTTAACATATTATAACATGATTTAAATCTGGCCCTGCTTTTGGGAACATTAGTGTGTATTATTTCCTCAAACATTCTTTCCTTATTCCCACTTTTCCCAGAAAGTTATGTGCAAAGCATGTCTGTGTGTGTGTGTGCCAGAAAGTTATGTGCAAAGCATGTCTGTGTGTGTGTGTGTGTGTGTGTGATTATTCACTTCGGAATAAGCTGGGTGCTGTCTCCACCCCCTTTGTCTTTCCTAAATTGTCTTATTTCACGGTGGAATTTTCATCTGCTTGCTTATACTTTACTGGGTACTATAAATCCAAATGTGCCATTTTGTTTTAATAAAAGAGAAATCTTTCTCGCTTGTAATGTTCAGCCTTCATGCTCCTGCGCTCCCCAGGATCTTCTCAGGACCTCATTTCATCCAGTGTCTGCAGACACGTCACTGCATCATTAAATTAGAAAAGGAGAACCTTTTTCTTGAGTTCAAAATTGTTTCCATTTTGTGGCCTATTGATTTCTTGTATATTTCGTCAGGCTGGCCAGTACAGGAGGTGGGGGTGTGTCCCTCAGGTGGAGGGATCTCCTGCAAATGTGCCAGGGAACCACCGTTTCCCACACTCCTGGCCTCCTCCAAAACAGACATTGAACTTACCCCTAGATCCAATCTCAAAGCATAGAACGTTAAGGGCTCCACTCAAAGCTCGAGTGAAAATACTAAAAGAACAGCAATTTATGCCTATGTGAAGTTTTAAATTTCCAGTACTTCTGTCCCTTGCCTCAGGCCATCTGGAGAGGTGAGATGCTGGGGTCCTTCTCAGACCAACGGCAAGCCTGGTGTCGCCTTCTGGTTGTTTCTGTTAAGAAGGGAAGGAAAGCATAATAGCTATGGTGGCTAAAATTTGCTGAGTGCTTTTGATATGCTGTCGAGCAGCTTTAAGTAGGTCTTCCTAATCACTTCATGTACCAGCCCTGTGAGCTGGTCACAGGCTAATGGATGGGGAACTGGGGCTTCTAGAGGTTAAGTACCTTTGCATCTTAATGGTTTCTGATAACATTTATTTCTACATTTTCTCCTTTCCCCTCATGTCAGTCAGGGTCCCCATGGGAAACCATGGCTCATTCACCTTTAGA